AGTGAACTAGCGGAAAGGGAGGAAAGGCGTACACAACTAAGTGGGTCCACGGGGCTAGCAAAGCAACGTCGGGAGCTTGGCGTTCCAGGGTGCAGCAAAACGGTCCAACCTTAAACCCTCCCACGGCCGAAACATCCTGTAGGCTACCCACTGGGGTATCAGCTACTCAGTGTTCTGGAGACGGAGCCGCCCTGAAAGGGCGTCGCCAGACTGTTCCTCACCCCTGGAAGGTGGTGTGCGGTTAGCTCCACATTTTATTCCAGGCACCAAAGGAGGATTTTGCTCCGCTGGGACTAACAACGATGGGGAATGTGTCCCCCTCCCCACCTACTTGAAGGAGACCACCGCTGCGTTGCCTGTGCGGAGCAGGACTCTGTGGTCTCGAACTACGGGTAGAAAGCGTGGTAGTGCTAAGTACACTGCTCTCAGTTCGAGCCGGTTGATATGGTAGTCCTAAAACTAATGCGGGGCCATATCCTTGGGCTTGTTGGCCCAATAGATGCGCTCCCCAACCCTGGGGGGAGGTATCTGTTACCAGAGTCATACCTGCGGCGAGCGGGCCCAAGGGGCTCCCCTGTCCGAGGTTGGCCAGTGACGACCACCAGGGCAGGGCTTCCTTCACTTGGTCCGAGATCGAAACCCGCCTATCTAGTTCCCATAGGAGAGCTCGGCGTTATAACAAGCATTATACCAGGCGGCTGCGTAGTGCAGCCTGGGGAACGATCCTTCGAACCGAGGTCATCATTTTGATGATCCGCATTAGTTCACGGAGGGACACCGAGCGAACGCTGACTAGGCATTCGGCTAGACTGCTTAGCGCTAAGCAATACGCTTTAAATAGCTAAGCCAAGCTTACCTCTGTGTCAAAACTCCATGCCCAGGGACACCAACTGCGCGTTGGGTCGAGGTGGGACTTGTCAATTTACTAACAAGCCCAACTGGTGAAGTAAATCCTGTGTTAGCCTGACGCGTTTGGCTATTACCCCTTGCCCGGGTTGTTGGTAACCGAAAGTCTGGGTATGGATTGAGGTGTACCGACATCTGGTGAAGCAGCAGCACTACCTGTTTCATCACTCTGGTGAACACGTAGGGCACTGTGCCTAACCCGAACGGGGGGCACCCGAAATTCGAATACTTGGCCCAGCTGGGCGATTCGAAGGAGATGGCAACTCGCTGGGTGCATCGGGGTCTAAGTCTAGCGGGGATAGCCAGTCAAAACGGTGGATGGAGAGAAGAACCATGAATGGTGTCTCCATGTGGAACCGATCGAGGAGCATGTA